ATCCACCAACCTACTTCCTACCTACCCATCCACCTACTCACCCATCCATCATCCGTCCACCCATCACCTGTCCGTCCACCCATCACCTGTCCGTCCACCCTTCACCTGTCCGTCCACCCATCACCTGTCCGTCCACCCATCACCCATCTGTCCATCCATTACCCATCCGTCCACCCTTCACCCGTCCGTCCACCCATCACCTGTCCGTCCACCCATCACCCGTCTGTCCACCCATCAACCGTCCACCCATCACTCATCCGTCCACCCATCACCCATCCGTCCATCCATCAACCATCCATCCATCACCTATCCGCCCATCACCTGTCCGTCCACCCATCACCCTTCACCCGTCCGTCCACCCATCACCTGTCCGTCCACCCATCACCCGTCTGTCCACCCATCAACCGTCCACCCATCACTCATCCGTCCACCCATCACCCATCCATCCATCCATCACCCATCCACCCATCACCCGTCCGTCCACTCATTACCCATCCGTCCACCCATCACCCATCACCCGTCCATCCACCCATCACCCATCACCCGTCCGTCCACCCATCACCCTTCACCCATCCATCCACCCATCACCCGTCCGTCCGCTCATTACCCATCCGTCCACCCATCACCCATCACCCATCTGTCCACCCATCACCCATCACCCATCCGTCCACCCATCACCCATCCATACATCACCCATCTGTCCACCCATCACCCATCCGTCCACCCATCACCCGTCCGTCCACCCCACCACCCATCTACACATTCACCTACCTACCCACCTCATCCATCCATCCGCTCACCCACTCATTTGTATGCCCCGTTCACCCATCTATGTAACCAGCCATCCACCCAGCCACTCACCCATCCACCCATCTCCCCACTCCCCTGCCCATCCACTCACCTATCCACTCGGCCATCTGCCCGCCCACTGTCACATCCCCCACCCCCCACTGTTTGGTTTCAGTGCCCGACACTGGCTCTGTCGGTTGTAAGGTAAGTGTCCGGCAGGAAGCTTTCGGTTGCTGAGGCGTCCACCTCAAAGGTACCACCCCACACAGACACGTTGCCAACGACACCAGCCACCCCATCCTTGCAGGTCCTTTTCCAGAAAGCTGCTGGACTAACCCTACTCTCCCCCTCCTGCGCCTCAATTCCCACTGTCACGTTTTAAATTTGCCAACAAGGAGTGAACCTGTGAAATCCTAGGCACCCACCCTCGACCCGATACAGGCAGAGGCCCGCATCCATGCTGCCCCCTGCACTCACTGTGTGTCCCTGGCCATGAAGTGTACCCTCCAGGACCTGAGGAATAGACCTTGTTTTTCCAAATCTCCCTGCTGGTCGGTGCTGAGATGCGCCTTGCGGTCATAGTAAGGACCACAGGGCCAGGCCCCCCACGCACTGGCTCTGGTCTGGGAGGCAGCCCAGACAGGCGTCCTGAGCAATAGCATCCCCGTCCACAGGCTAAGACCCACACAACAGCTCCAGACCACCCTCTACCCGCCAACTAGAACCCCACAGTGTCTACTGCTCTTGGCCCCGCTGGGCAGACAAAGGTGGAAGCTGCGTGCCCAGGGTCACGTGACAGTGTGGGCGGAGGGAGCAGGGGGAGGCCAGCCCACCAGGGTTCCTGTGTTGCCTCACTGCCTGCTTGGTTCAGGCCTTGGACAGGTGGAGCTGCCCGCGCCTGGTCACCTTGGTGGGTGATGCCCCACCCCCTTCGGTCTTACACTGCGGGGGCTCCCAGGCCATCTGCACCCCACCGGGTTGCCCCCCGGCCCACAGCCGCAGGTGCTCAGGAGCAGGGGGCGGGGACGCTGTGCTGCCTTAGACAGCCACCAGCGTTTCCCAGACCTCCTTGTATTGACTCCAAGGGGCTGCCAGAGTTATAAATAGATGTTCTTGAGCTAAAAATAGCTTTGCTGGAGCAGCGGAGTTTCTAGCGTTCCGCCTATTGGAGACCTCGCAAGGATGCAGGGTCCAAGGACCCCGGCTCCACGATGCGGACATGCTCGCCCGTGTGCACGCGCACACACGCGCGCACACAGGGCTGGCCTGTGTCACTGGTGGGGGCGACCTGCCGGCTTGGAGAGCGGAAGGGGTCCGAGGAGAAGCAGCCTGACCTGCAAGGTCAAGGTCAGGCCCCTGCACAGGCTCACGTGGTACTTGCCATAGGGCCCTGAGGTCACGGGCACAGGCCTGTTTTGAAGCCACCTAACACCTGGAGCCGGGGGTCCTGGCTAAGTCAATCCAATGAGAGCAAGGTACCAAGCGCCCTCCCGCTCGCACGCAGCAGCAGCCTCCACCCCCGGGCAGTGAGGGAGGGGGTCAGCAGGTGGGGGTGGCTGTCCCCGGGGAGAGGGGCCCAGTGCTGGGGACGAGGGAGGGGGTGACACCAGAGGCCCTTGCACCACGCCGACGTATCGCTTGAGTCCATCATTTCTGTGACATGTGTCAAGCTAGCTGCACACTCCAGAGCTCAACCGTTTCCGGTGAAAGGAAGAGCCGCCGTGTGCCATGTCCACCGTGTGCCATGTCCTCCGTGTGCCATGTCCACCGTGTGCCATGTCCACCGTGTGCCATGTCCTCCGTGTGCCATGTCCGCCGTGTGCCATGTCCGCCGTGTGCCATGTCCTCCGTGTGCCATGTCCGCCGTGTGCCATGTCCGCCGTGTGCCATGTCCGCCGTGTGCCATGTCCGCCGTGTGCCATGTCCTCCGTGTGCCATGTCCGCCGTGTGCCATGTCCTCCGTGTGCCATGTCCTCCGTGTGCCATGTCCACTGTGTGCCATGTCCTCCGTGTGCCATGTCCACCGTGTGCCATGTCCACCGTGTGCCCACAGGGCCCACAAGGCCCGTGGGGTCATTCCCAGGGGGTACCCCTGGGGAGTGGGACGGGGCAGTTGAAAGGCACAGCGGAGTTTTATTTGCCCAGTTCTAAGTCTTCACCAGCGTGTAACAAGGTTCTGTATCCAGGGGCACAGCAGAGGCCTGTGCTTGGCCATCCGCGGTGACACCCTCCTCCAGCGACGCCCCCACCCTGTCCTCTGGGTTCGGGCGTCCGGCTTTCCAGGACCAACACCCCAGACTCCTGGCCCCCTCCCACCCTCCACCCACCCCCTGCCTGAAGAAAGAGGCAGCCAGAGGCGGGGAGAAAACATCCATCTCGGGATTTATTACAACACGTTTCTTCCAAATACAAAAGAAGGGGACAGGACAGGGGCAGAAAGTGTGGCTGCGGTGGGGGAGGGGCTGGGGGAGGGGCTGAGGCAGGGCGGCGGCCCAGTCCAGAGAGACCGGGAGCCGAGCAGGGGGACCTGCCACCTCTCCTCCGCTGGACTTTCCAGCAAATAGCGGGAGGGAGCACGATCCATTTGGGCCACCCCGGGCCACCCCAGGGCCAGGGCAGGGGGTGGGGTGGGCAGGAGGTGGAGATCCCTGGGAGACTGGAGAGGATGAGGCCCTGCCCCTCCCTGCCTGGGACAGGGGGTGGAAATGATCAGGGAGGGGTCCACCCAGCACCCCAGGGGTACCTTCTCCTGCGTTGCAGCTGCTCACCTTGGGGTGACCAGTGTCTCAAGAGGACCCCCTCCAGGACAGGAGCGGTGAGAGCTGCTGCAGCCTGGAGAAGTGGGGGGGGGGGGACCTGCCTCCAGAGGGTTGGCCCAGCCAGTGGCCCGATCACTGTCTCCTGGACAGCACAGGGTGGGATGCTGAGGGGGGACCAGTGCACCCTCCACGCCAGGGTCCCCTCAGAAACCATAGCAATAGACAAACGGGGCAAATTTACAGAATCAATAATAATAATAATTAACCAATAATAATAAATACTTAAACCTCTAATCCATAGATTGCAAATACAACGATAGCTTATTTCTCGGAAAACAGGGCGGGGACAGAGAGAACAGGAACAGGACTTCCGCTTACAGGAGGCATGACAGGGACCCAGGGCTGGGGGTCCAAAGAAAAACAAACAGAAACAGCCCGAGGGGCGGTTGGGCAGAGGGGGCCTCCCCACCTGCTCGAGGGCTCAGTCCTGCCAGGACCGCCCTCCTGCCAAGGACCGCCCTGGCCCCTCCCCAAGGGGGCTGCCCCAATTCCTAGACTCTGGGCCTTCTGAAGGCTGGGGGACATCTCCTCTTGCCTCCAGAACCTCCCTTCCTAGTAACCCAAGTGGGTGTAGGCTGGGCCTTTCTCCTGCCCTCGCCCCCAGGCTGGTCCAACTGGGCCCAAAGCCATCTGTGGTGGGGACTGGCATATTACCTTGAAGACACTGGGGGACTTCAGAGGGGAGAGCCCCCTGGGAAAGGGTGCAGGGGTTCTCTCCTCTGAGGCCCTTGGGGGATGGAGACACATCCTGCATCTGCCTGGAGCTGGCTCTCCAGAGCTGAGGACCCCACGCCGCAGGCGCAGGGTCTGACAGGTGCTTCCCGGCCCTTGCTCTGCAAGGTGGCCACTGCTCATGGCCCTTCAGCCTGCAGGAACATACCTGGCTTCCAGTTCTGGCCTCGGGTGGGGGCTGGTGGAGGGGAGAGCCCAGAACAAGACCCTAAACCATCTGACCTCTGAAGGTAGAGCCAGCTCCTCCCACCAGACACCCCAGGGGCCAAGCTCCTCCTCCTGGGCTTCCCCCACTTGCCGGTGGCGGCGCTGGAGACGCCACAGAGCAGAAGGAAGGGAAGGAGCCTCCTGTGAACAGCTCTGAGCCCCTGAAAGTGGACCTGGGCTAGGGCAGGAGGGGGAGGCATTCCACCTCCATCCCCGCTCTGGGAGCTGCTTTCCCTGTTCTACACCCCAGCCCCCCACACCCTGGCCTTGGCAGGCCCTGTGCTGGCCAACGCATGCCAGGCACGGGCCTGGGGGGGCGGGTGGTGGGGGTGCCTTCCTTGGCAACAAGACATGGGACCTGGAGCTGGCTTTGTGCAGAGCCCAAGGAAGGAGAGAGGAGGAAGGGGTGTGTGGGGGGGTGGGAGGGCAGGCAGGCAGTTTCTGCGGCTCAGTTTGTGGCAAAGTTTTTTTTTTTTTCTTTTTTCCCCTTTTTCTTAAGTAAAAAGTGCACGAAAGCTCGGCAGCCTCTGCGGTGCTCAGCAGTGTTTCCTCGGCGGGGCTGGCGGGGAGGGGACCCGGCCGGCACCCAGCTTGTGACCGAAGGTGGCCTCATATTGCTTAGAAATGTGTCTCAGTTTAAACAGCAGACTAAAAAGAGAGCTCGGAGGACCACCCTCCCTGCTGCCCGGTCATTGCCAGGATGAACAGCTTCAATAAATAAAAAAATCGAAATATTTACTTCTTGATAAAAACCGCAGTAAAACCATTTACCTCTCTTTGCATTATATATAATATATCTTTATAGTGGGCCCGGCTGCTGGTGGCCCAGCCGAGGGCAGCGGAGGGCTCAGGGGCACTGAGTCCCCACGGAGGGGCCGGTCCTGGCCGCTGTCAGGACACCTCGATGACCTCCACGCTCCCCGAGAAGCTGGCCTGCTTGCCCAGGGCAGCCAGCTCCTCGCCATGGGCGCGCCCCTCCACCATGCCCTCCTCGAACTCCATCTGGCAGCTTCGACGCTTAAACTGCGCCTCTGGGACCGGCTCCTCGGGCCAGCTGATCCGCGCCTCCCTGGACTCGGCCCTCACTGCCTCCCGTCGCCGCGGGTCGCCACCTGTGCCCTGTGTACACGCCAGGCTGAGGGGTGCAAACTGCACGCCCTGCGCGCCCTCGGGGCTGAAGCACCAGAGCCCATCCGGGGATGGGGTGCCCGGGGAGTCAAGGGGCGACGCCCAGCCCCCAGGGCTGGCTGGCTGGCCTGGGCCAGGCAGCCCGGGTGCTGACAGGGCAGAGAGGCCGTGCCGTGGAGTCTGTCGGGCAGCGTCCCCGAAGTTCAGGCTGAGGCCGTGCGCGGGAGAGCGCGCCGGGGAGCCCGCTGGAGGCCGGGGCCGCCTGCGAGGCCGGGGGCGCGTCTCGGGGGCCGCATCTGGGCTGTCGGGACTGGGCGAGGGCAGGCCCAGTGAGCTCCCGGACGGGCTGTCCAGTTTGCAGAGCTTGGGGGCCTCACCGGGATCCGGGGCCCCAGGGTCGTCGGGCCGCTGGCTGGGGGCATAGGCTGACTTGATGTCCAGCGAGAAGGAGCGCTTCAGGCGGTTGGTGTCCTGGACGCGGTCGGAGGACAGGTGCAGGCCCCGCAGGCCCTGCTGCAGCGCGCTGGTGGCCGGGGCTGCGGCGGGCGAGGGGGGCTCCCTGCCCGCGCTCGGGGCGCCTTCCCGGGCTGCGCTCTCTGAGGTAGGTGGAGGCAGTGGCAGCAGGGGGGCCGCAGGGCCTGGGAGGTGCTCAGGAGTCCCCACGCCTGGGAGGGGTGCCCCCCCGCCCTGCAGGGTGGCCAGCAGCTTCAGGCTCCGCTCATACTCCAGCAGCTGGCCCAGGAAGTTGAAGTTGGGCGAAATGGACGGGCGCCGGTCCTTCACAAACCTGAGGCAAGAGGCGCTGGGTGGCCACCAGGCTTCCTGCCAGGCCAGGCTGCCCACCTGCCTGCCTCTGCCCCCACTGCCTGGTCCTGGGCAAGCAAGCTGCTGTGCAGACCCGCCCCAGCCCAGGGCCCTGGCCCCTGGGCCACTCTGATGCTAGTGGGTGGAGAAGGGGGAGATGGGGAGGGGAGGGGAGGGATGGGGAGGGATGGGGAAGGGAGAGGAGGGGAAGGAAAGGATGGGGAAGGGAGAGGAGGGGAAGGGAGGGATGGGGAGGGGAGGAGATGGTTTCCAGCCACAGAAAGGAAAGCCAACTACCTGTAGGCGTCGTCGGAGGACATGCCCATGGTCTTCATGATGTAGGCAATGGCGATTGTGGCAGAGCGGGAGATGCCAGCCAGACAGTGGACAATGACTTGGCAGCTAGACAGCTTGGCTTTATCTGAGGGCGGGGGGCACGGGGACCAGGTGAGTGCTGGAGTTGCTAGCCCCACCCCCCAACCTCGCCCTCTGCACTGCTAACAATAAACACAAGCGACTTCTCAGGAATAGCCCCTCCCAGGCTGAGCACCTGCCCCTCCTCTGCCCTCCCCAGGACAGGGAGTGAGGACAGGGTCCCCTCCCCTCACCGATGAACTCGATGGACTTGTCCAGCCAGGGCAGCAGCTTTTCACAGTAGTTGTCGTTGATGGGGATTCGCATAAAACGGCTTTCGCAGATGAAGTCCGGCTTGGGGCAGGAGTTGCTGGCATTGAGGACATAGCTTATTCCGTTTTGGGTCATCAGATCCTGGAGGGACAGGAAGACAGGTTGGAAGGGGTGCAGCTGGGCAGGATCTTGGGAGCCCAGATCTTAGAGCCTCAGAAATTGCCAGAGGGGCAGGGCCCTGGAGCCCCGCCCACTTCCACTCCGCAGCCCGCGGGCCAGTGCAAGCCCCGCCCACAGCCTGCCTCGGCTCCTAGGAATTTTAGGGCTGCCTGGGCGGTGGCTTTACCCTCTACCCTCGTCACCATTTTTAAAGCACGGGATTCTTTCGGGCTGGCCAGGGGCCCAGTGACATCAGCAGTTTGGCATGTGGGCTCTACCGAGGAGGGGCCAGAGAGCTGCTTCTCACCCTGCCCTGCTGGGCCCTTCCCCCAGCCCTGCTCCCCGCTGCGGAGCCCCTAGGGTCCTCCTGTGCCCCCAACGGCCTTCAGTTCCCTCCCGCCCCAGACAGGCCCAGGAGTCACGGCTGGGCTCGGCCTTTCCCCGGCCCGTGCACACACCTTGTTCAGGACGTCCTTCTGAGAGCCCAGGTAGAGGTGAGGCAGGATGCGGGTGAGGCCCACGCTGGGCACCGGCAGGCAGGGCTGGGACAGGCTCACAGGCAGCAGGGCAGCAGGCTTGCCCTCGCAGAGGCCGGGGAAGCTGGAGGAGAAGGTGGCAAAGCCCCCTGCAGCAGGAGGAGCCAGGAGACAGGTCAGGCAGCTGGCTGGCGCAGGAGGGAGCCCAGGCACCCCCAACCTGGCCCCGCGCTGAGCCTCTGGCCGGAGCACCTGGTCCGGGTGCTGGGTGCTGCAGGGCATCTCGCCATGCCACAGATCCCAGGCACACACACGGCCTCCCCTCCGCCCACACTGCTCCTCACACTAGGTAGGGGACGCTGCTGTGATGCCCGTAAAACGTGGGGTCGAGGTCAGCACAGCACGCGCAGGGCCCAGGGAGAGACAGGCTCTGAGGTGATGGGGGGGCTCCTATAGAGGATGGGGATCGCACAGCCCCTCCATACCTGTGGCCAGGGCCCAGGCTGGGCCTTCCACCTCTCCCCCTGGGCTGACGCAATACCTCCCTGCCTCCATCTGGCGGGGAGCCCCAGGCCAGGCTTGGGTGCCAGGACCAGGAGGCAAGTGCTTCTGAAGGGGCCTCCCCTCCTCCTGGGCATGACATCACCCACTGGAATTGGCACAACCCGCAGGGGCGTCTGTGCTCGAGTTATGGCTCCATTCCACAGCCAAGCCCAAGGCGCTGGGCACCCTGGGGACTGGGACTCGCAGGGCAGGCAGCGGGCTCGCGGGCCACACGTGGCTGGCACATGCACCGCCACCGTGCCCACGCTGCACCTGAGTCCTGGGCCACGGGTCGGAGCAGGGAGTTCCCCCCTGGCCGGGACAACCTGAGTGGGATCCTCCCTGGATCCCTGACTCAGGGAGTGACCGGGGCAGAGCTGTTCCCGTCCTGCCTGCCACATGGGCGCGTGGCGAGGCGCAGAGAATGGCCGTGAAGACACAGAGCGTGGGCTCACTCACGCTGGCCTGGCTGGGTGACCACTGACTCGGACCGGCAACCGGCAATGCCCAGTGGCTGCCGGCTCTCAGTAGAGTCAGTCGGGCCTGCCGAGTGCACCCTGGGGCTGACCGCGCTTCTGAGGACACAAGCCCCATGGTACTGTCTCTGCTCACAGCCCAGCAGGCTGCTGTTTCTGATGTAGTGGACCCGCCTGTCACGAGACACCAGGGCCAGGCCTACCCTCTCCCCCTGGAGGAGGCAGGAGAGTAAAGTGGGGTCTTGGGCCCCAGAAGCATCTGGCTGATCCCAAAGACAGATGCCTGGGAGCCTCAGCCTTCACCTGGCCCAGCTCAGTGTCCAGTCTGTGAAATCCTCAACCACAATGCCCCTGTGCCCCCAATGAAGGCCTGACTGTGGGGGCAGAGATGGGAAAACCTGGGAACCTGGGGGGGGGGGCGCACGCCTTAGAGGAGAAGCTGCCCCTTCCTCGGGAACTTCTGACGCCACAGGGTCCCAGGAGAGGGGGCCAAGCTGGGTTCTGGGGTCGGCTCCTGCTCACCATCCAGAGCCAGGGGACCCTCCAAGATCAGACAGCCTGGCCAAAGTGTGTGTGTGTGGGGGGGGGGGTCCACCAGGAACCTCCTCCCCCAAGGAAGTGTCTGCAAAGGTGCAGAGACCCACCAGCCTCAGCTGCAATTCCTCAGGTAAGGGCCCCAGGACCCCCTGGGTAGAGCCAACCGGCTTGGGGTGCTCCCGATAGATGCAGGCCTGCCGGGGAGCTCCAGTCCCCAAGCGGTTCCAGGGAGTGAGGCAGTAGCAGGAGACGCGGACCCTCTGCAGGACCCTGCACTCCCAGACTTGGGAAGGCGCCCCGGGGCCCTGCCGTCTAGGCATCGCTAGGGACACCTTCCTTCAGGGGAGACCCCCGCCCCCCAACTACCGCCGCTCCCTCTGCTTGGCGCCCCGCCTGCCCTCACAATGAAATCGCGGCGGACTCGCACCGGAGCGCGTGCCCGGGGCGCGCTCGCTCAGCCGGCACTCACGCCGGCCACCGCCCCGCCGGCGCCGCTGCCACCGCGCGTGCTCCAGCCCGCGCTCCCGCTAGCCTCCCGGCAGGGTCCCCACCCACCCTCCTCGCCGGAGCTGCTCCCGCCTCGGTCTCCGACCAGGGTCTGCGGGCGCCGCGGACGGGGCTGGGCCGCAGGGGCGCACCCGTCCCGGGGCGGCGGCGGCGGCGGCGGCGGCGGCATCACCATCCTGGATTCCGCAGCGACGCGCACGAGCAGCGAGCAGAGCGGCAGCAGCGAACAGCGGCGGGCTCTGGGTTAGGGCCGCCGCGGTTTAAAGGGCCAGGCTGCCCTCCCATCCCCGCCCCCCGAACGTCACGCGCAGTGGCTGGGTGGGGGTAGCGGACGAAGGCAGGGTCACCGAGGCCGTTCTCGGACCCCAGCCTGACCCCACTGCCCTCCCGCTTGCGCCAACCTCTCCGTCATCAGGTGTGGGTGGGGCTCGCTCCCTCCCCGCGGCGCAGTCCTCACCTTCCTGGCGCTGCTCCGCGGCCACCCACCCCAGGGTCAGTGCGCACGTTCTAGCCTCTGCGGACCGGGCTCCCCAACTCCCCCTTTTAGGGTGCGCGGCACCCCTCTTCCCGCGCTCAGGGGCCTGCTCGCCTCCACTGGCGGGAGCTGTGGACAAGGCGCGGAGGCTGTCCCCATGGGTCCTGATTTGGTGTCCCTGGGAGCCCTCCTTGTATCATGAGGGTCATGGCTTCATTCCAGCTTGGCTTGAGGAATACAGGCAAACACCCCAGCCTTCCAGGGTGGGGCAGAGAGAGCCAGGTGGGGCAAGCCAGGTGCCAGGTGCGCCCTCCTGCATTGTCCTCCAGGCCTGCCTTGCCCAGCGCTGGCTCCCGGCGCTGGGGGAGGCAGACCACTAGAAGCTCCGGGCTTCATACTGCCTGCATCCCTGCAGCCTGGAGGGCGCAGCTCTGGGACCCTCTTCTCAGACCCCCAGCAGAGCGTGGTGGTCCCACTCGTGCAGGCTACACACGCACACCCGGTTCCCGGCTGGACCCTGGAAGGGCTCCTGTTCTGCCCAGGACACCTGTAAAAAGCCCAGACTGCTGCCCTCTCTGCCCACCCACCGAGCCCCCAAACTGAATAGGGAAGCGGGGCAGAGTGTCTGCTAATCTGGGGTTTCTGGCTCCACAGAGACACAAATCCCACAGCCCACCCAGACGAGCTCAGGACCACCAGCGATGGGACAAATGCAGGTAGATGCTGGCCACCAGCCTCCCGAGCCGCGCCGATGCAGACGCCCCCCCACCACGCAGACCCAGATGCGCAGACACGTGTGCAGAGGACGGCATGCGTGCCTGTACACCCAGCTCACACGGCACCTCCTCCCAGGGCTCTGCCCGGGGCAGCCCGGCTAACGCAGCCCGCAGACTGCCCACTGCCTCACAGGCCGTGGAGAAAGTATGTGCTCCCTCTGGACACCAGTGTCGGGGGCCAGCCTGACGCCCCGACCTCCGCACCACTGCCTGCTGGTGGTAGCTGCTCAGGGTCGGTGCACTGAATGAGCAGAAGCACCCCACTGGCCGTGCCCTCCACCCTCCACCTGCCTGCATACCCCTGACATGCAGGGGCAGGAGCACCCACAAAAACGCTGGACCTGGGTGGGGAGGGTGCACATCCCCGGGACAGGCCAGCTTCACCCATCCCAGGTCCCGGGAGGTGGACTCCACAGAGGTGCCTCAGCTGCTGTGCAGAGAAGGAGAGACCAGCAGGAATCACGTGGAGCCTGTGTGGGGGGTGGGGGTGGGTGGGGGGGTCCCTGCCTCCAGATTGGCCTGGATACTTTAGGGAGCAGGAAGTCTGTGGGGACCTCTGTGGGCCACCAGGCAGGGGTCATGATCAGGGCTGTTGCCAGGCATCCTGTGCTGCGCTGAGCTGCAGGGGCCCTCCCGGTGGGGTCCAGGGGGTGGGGCCTGTGCCCCCTCCTTGGGACATTGCTGGGGAGTGTTTCCCAGCAGAACCACCCACCTCTTTGCCTAGATCCCTTCCCCACCCCTGCCACAGGGGTATTTGGGGGTTTCCTTCTGTTCACCTCTTCACCTGCTAGTGGAGGGAGCCCTGAAGTGTGGGGGCCCAGGGGAGGGGATGGTGGAGCCCCAAGAACTACAGAGCCATTGAGATACCCCACTGCCAGCAGATGCTGGACTTAGGGAAGAATAGTGGAGGGTCCAGAACCCTGACCCCAGGATGCACCTGCACCCCCAGCCAAGCAGAAAGCGGCAGACAGAGGCAGGAGGGGTGCCCTGCACCCCCAGCCAAGCAGAGAGCGGCGGACAGAGGCAGGAGGGGTGCCCGCGGAGCTCACCTGTGAGGATGGCCACGCTGTGGAAGCAGCCGTCCAGCTTGCTGAGCAGGATGGAGAGGAAGCTGTCTGCGGCCAGCACGCTGGCGTCCCGTGTGCTCTGGTCATAGACGACGACGTCCTGTGGTTCCTCAGCTTCCACCTGGGCCATGGGGGAGGGCAGAGGTCAAGGCACTGCCGGGCAGGGGCTCAGGTGATGAGAGGGAGGGGCTGCTGCCACCTTGTAGCCTTGAGGGCAGGGCAGGCACCCAGCTACCACCTTATACCTGAACACGTGCAAACACCCATGGCCACCCAGGCGGCAGGCCCTCGGAGCAGGCAGAGCCAGGGACACTGGTCCCCAGTGCAGCCACTTACAGGAGTAGGGGGAACAAACACTCGTGGTGTCCACTGTGGGCCAGGCCCCTGTGAGGGACAGTGTGACAGGTCCCCAGCAGGCATACACAGGGCCACAGTGACAGGATCACACAGCCACAGCCTGGGCCAGCTCCCATGTTGGCCAAGGCAAAGGGAAACCTGTCCTCGGGGTCCCCGGGAGGTACATGTTGGGGATTTGAGGGTGAGCACCTTTGGGTCTGGGTTCTCCTCTCCCTGCATCCCCAGCCAGCAAAGGGGAACCTGAGAGTGCAGCAAGAGCCCCCCAATTCAGGAGGTAGCAGCTGGAGGCTGGGGTTCCACCTGCCTTTCTCCACCTCCGAGTGCCAGCCTGGGGGCCAGATGTTCAGCAGCTTTTGCTCAGTGGCTGATGCCCCCGCCCCCCAAGCACACTCAGCCCTTAAGCCAGCTGAGCCACCAACCCGGCCTGATGATGTCACCGGCAGCCAATGAGATTGCACTCTGGCGGGGAGTCCTCGATGGGGGTGATTAATGACCGGATTCCCCTTATTGAGGCTGCAGGGAGCCATTCTGCCTGTGGGGTGGGGGCTCCCCACAGGCAGCCTTTTCACCTGGGTCCCCTCACAACCAGCTCATCCCACAGCCTCCAGGCCCTGGGCACGTCCCTCTCCCCATTGGAGGTGCCACCGCCTCCCAGGTCACTGGCCCAGGCGTCCCTTCCCAGCTGGACTTGAAGCTGCTGGGAAGAGACAGGACATGGGCTTGTCTGCTGTGCAGACAGCTCCTTGTGGGCTGAGCGAGGACAGCCGGGGCTGGAAGGCTCTGGGAGGGCGGGCAGGAGGGCCTCCCTGGGGGGAAGCTCCTGGAGGAGAGGGGGAGCCCCCGGGGAGCTGCCCTCCAAGGCCCGGAGTGTGGACGCTCTGAACATTCTGACCCTGTGGAGCCCGCCTGGGTTCAGGGGCAGAGGTGGGGAGGCTGCTCAAGGCATGGGCCCCGGGCACCTGGCTGAGGAGCTCAGCCTTGGACCTGGGGGTGCGGGAGCCCGGGCGGGGGCAGGGAGGCGGCGCGCAGGGAGGCGGCGCCGGTACCTGGCCGTGCACCGCGGGCTGGATGAGCTCGGCGATGGTCACTTTGCCCTGCTGCAGCCGGCGCTTGAGCAGCTTGGAGCAGCAGATGTTGACGGAGCGGAGCACGTGCCAGCGGCTGTACTCCACGAAGGGGCGGCTGTCGATGACCAGGGGCCCCCCGGGCCCGCCCCGCAGCAGGCTGGCCAGCTTCCTGGCATCCATCACCTTCCTGGGGAGCCGGTCCCCGGCCATGGTGGGCAGTGGGCAGTGGGGAGGGGGTGCCCCCGACGTGAGCAGGGGCTGCTCTGATGGCCCAGGTGTGGCCTAGGGTTCAGAGTGGCTGGGCATGGCGCCAGACCTGCAGGGAGAGGCAGGCGGTCAGCAGCGACCTCAGAGGGGCCAGGGTGCCATCTCGGGACACAGAATGCCCAGGCCAGATGTGCGCCCAGGGCCCTTCCTCCCTCGGGTGAATCAACGCCCCTCTGTCTCTTTTCGGACGGCGCGCTGGGCTCTGACACACGGGGCTGGAGTGCTCAGGGTACGTGGAGTGGGCCCGTCCCTCTGCACTGTCCGGTCACAGGGCTGGCCTCAGCAGGACACAGCAAGGCAAGCAGAGGACCAGAGGGAGGAGCTCAGGGCGTGGACTGGCCCTTGGGCCCCTGGACACCCCTCATTCCAGAGCATGACATTCCGCCCCATGGCTCGCACCCCACCAACCCCTCAGGCTCCCACATCTTCCCGATCCCCGGGACCCTCTGCCAAACTCCTCCTCCTCCGCACACCTCCCTCTCTGATCCCAGTAGCCCAATGGCTCCCTAAACTGATAATCTGGAGGTGGATGGGGGGCTGGGGGTCAAGGCTGCTCCCACAGGCTGATGCCCTTCCCAAGGCATGGCTGGGGGCGGGTGGTGGAGGGCGCTGGGCAGGGCTCAGGAGCGGGGGCTATGCTGTTCCCGTTCTGCAGGCCAAGGCTTGAGCTGCCCGTGCCCCCGCGGTGTGCAGGGAGTCCTCCTGCAGGGCGTGTACAGGCTCACAGAAGAGGGGGTGACGGCCGTGCTCCAGGCACAGTGGGGGCGTGGGGTCTGGGGAGCACCAGCCCAGGATGAGGTGGGGTGAGGGGCAACTCAAGGATAAAGGTCAACAAGGGCAACCCACATCTGGGATCCTCTGGGGTGCTGGGATGCTCAGCACGGTGTCCGGAGGCCCTCAAGCTGAGGGGTGCAGAGGGAGGAGGTAAAGGGACTGCAGAGCCCTGGGCAGACGCCCCCACCAATCCTCTGCCAGGCCCCACCTGTCCCGCCTCCACCTAGGACGGGCCTTCCTCAGGGCCCACAGGAGCCTCCAGCCCCGGGGCAGCAGCGTTAGGATGACGACAGGCTCGGAGAAGCCTGAGACCAGCCCCAGGTCACGCCAAGGAGACTGGACAGAGCCCCGGGCCTCATTGCATCAGCTCTTCCCTCATGCTCCCTCCCTGCCCTGGGGCTGATCTGATTCCTCCACCAGCCGCTTTGGGAAGCTGCTGGCTTCTGACCTGACTCAAGGCCACGGCCACCAGGTCCCCTCCCGCACGCCTCTCCCTGGGCCTGGGCACAGCCGCCCGCCCTTGGACACGGAACCAGAGCCCGGCTCAGAGGCCCAGGACCCAGAGGACCCTGCACTGACACCCGCCTCCGCGTCCGCATCAGGTAGGTGGGGGCAGTTACCTCCCACTCAAAACTGCCAAAGCCAGACTGAACCTCAGCGCAGGGAGGAAAGGGGCTGGGAGAGAGTGGTCTGCACATGTGCTGCCCTCGGGTCCCTCAGCCACCTGGAGGGGAGCAGGGTGTGGAGGTGTCCACCCCATAGATGATCCAGACTGAAGGAGTGCAGGGAGCAGGCGAGACTGAGACCAGAGAGGAGAAGGGTGAGGGCCAGGGCTGGCCGGGGCTGCAGGAGGGCGGGTAGCCCAGCCTGGGGCTGGTCCCTGGTCCTGCTGGCCTCCCAAGGATCTTCCAGTGAGACCCTATTAACCATCACAGTATTGTTATTTGCAGCCAGGGGGACTCATTAGCCAGTTAGCACCTCTGCTGTCACCATGGCAACAGCAGAGGTGCCAGGCAACCGCTCCTGCTGCAGCAGCCACTGAGAAGGCTGGCTCTGTAGATTGGCAGGTCCCCCTCCTTCCTTACTTCCTCCCTCCCCATCCCTGCAGGTGCCCAGTAGCTGGGGCCTGGGACTACCTCCAGCCAGGCTCCAGGAGGCCCCTCCCCCTCTACTCTGCTGAGTCCTGACCCTCCACACCATCTGGCACCCACCCTGCACAGGCCCCCACCCTCTGGAGACCTTCTCCGAATGGCCAGGGTCTGGGCCGAGCCCCTCCTGCAGACCTCCTGCTGAGCTGGCCTCCTGGGAGCGCATCCTCACTCACAGGGCCTCCTTGGACCTCAAGCTTACCTCTCCCCTCCCAAAGATGCTGTCATCAGAATGGAGGGCTGGGCACAGAGTGGGGGTCAGGGACAGAGAAGCTGAGGACAGCCCCGAGCAGTTCAGTGGGGCTGGAACAGGCCAGGGGGTTAAGAGGAAACAGCTTTGTAGGGCCTTGGGCCTCTTCACCTTCAAGGACCTGCCCCAGGCTCAGCCCAGACCCCATTTTTGGGAACTGAGGGGGAGAGCATGGATCACCCCCTATTCTAGAGCCTGGGTGCAGGTGGGAGGGAGGCATAGCCCAAACACCCCGACAAAGGCCATTCCTAGTCCAGAGGCAGGAGACCCCTCACTGTGCTGTGGGGCTCTTGCTGGGTGCACGCTGCTGTGCCTGCTGGGACATGCCCCTTTGCTCACTGACCACACAGGGGCCCATGCTCACCTCTTTCCCACAGTGCACCCCATCCCGCCCCCCTGCAGTTCCTCACATGCAAATGTGTGTGCACATACACATGCTCACTGGACGCATGTGTGTTCACCCTCTGCACGCCCGATGCCCCCAAGTCCCAGGACACCCAAACCCCAGTGCCAGCCCCAGGACCTCACAACGTCGGCTCCCAGGGCCCCCATGCAGTGCATTCATGTCCCTGAGTGCACACATGACAAGGAAACTCCCAACTCAGCACCCTCACCAAGGTGCCTTCTGCTCCGCATCTAGTGACGGGGAGCTCACTACCTCGAGGTGGCTGTCAGGACTGTGAGGATGGGCCAGTGGCTCTTACTCAGCACAGTGGTGCCTGGCACATGCAGGCAGACTCCTGAGAAAAGCCAGCAGTGGAGAGACCCGAGATGCTGGGATGTCCCGCTTGCTATGACCCAGGGGCAGAAACTGCCACACTAAGGGCCCTCCAGAGGCAAGAGCCCGAGGGCTCACACCAGGTCAGCTCATATCACCCATCACCTCACCTGTGCTCATCAGGGACCCCAAATACTCACTCCTCCTCCTCTCTCAGAGCCCAGGGGTGAGTAGGACAGGACCCAGGCTGGCCTTCACTCCCCTGCCCAGCCTTTGGAGGCTATGGACTTGGGAGACCATGGGCTGGGGGCCCTGCCCCCTTGGTTCCCAGGGGTCTAGGCTGAACCTGGGGTAGGAGGGCTTGGCATGTGGGCCCTTAAGGCAGGCACAGGACCCTGCTATATCTGTGCTTTCTCTGCACCTGTGTGGCTTGTCCTAGACTCAGCGATCTGTAGGACTTGTCCTGTGTGACACACTCAGGCCAGCCCGGGCATCTTCAGGTCACCGCCCACCATGTTTCACACCTGGACCAGCTCAGAGCATCTCCCGGTCACTGCCCAGGCACAGCTGTCCAGGAGAGGCAGCCTCAGCCCACACAGCCTCGGTAAGTCTGACCACATCTCTTTGCTGTGGGTTTGGCCCCTTCTCTCTTTTCCCTATGAACTGCACACCTCAGAGGTGTAACCAGGACACCCCTGGCCACAGCCATGGCCCCTGGAGCCCTCTGGGCCCCTATGTCAGCCTCAGCCTGAGAGGAGAGGTGATGCTGGGGAGGGTCCTGGAGCCCAGGATGACTTTGAGCATCTTTCTGCGTCTCTGTTCATGGAACTCACTGTTCCTGGAGGCCACCTCTGGGGCCCAGGAGCCTTCCCAAGGGCAGAGGGCAGCAGGGGACCAGAACCTGCCCAGCAACTCTCCTGGCCCAGGCTGACGGCAGCCAGACTTCAGGATACAGGCCCATCCTTGGCAGGTGCTCATTAACCATCTGACTGAATGCAGGAGACATCCACCCTCAGGAGCAGGTGGGGGTGAGAAGGTCTGGGGCCCAGAGCAGGAAGAACCCTGCTCCCTGGCCTTCAGCACCCCCACTCCACCCCAGCTGCGTGGACAAGAACACTGCAGGCGGATACCAGGTCCTGTCCCCCCAGGCCCCCTATCCCTCCATCACTGCAGCCCCAGGCCTCCAACCTCCCCAGCAGAAGCCAGAAGATGACTTGGTATGGGCTGGCCCACTGGTGCCCTCTCCCCCGCAGGCCGGGCTGTTTGCAGCCTCCCCTAGGTGGGTAGATGGGCAGCGGGAGGCTGGCTGCACTCAGCCTGGCAGTGCCAGCCCCTCCCCCAGCACTTGGGCTGCCTCTGCAGCAGCCTGGCGACCGTCTTTATTCCGCAGAGGCCAGCTGAGCACCCGGAGGTGGGGTGCCCGTGGCGGCCTGGGCACACAGGGGAGCCGGACCTGCAGCCCCTCCGCCCCAGCTCGGATTGAGGTCCCTCCAGAGCCTGCACACGTCAAAGGCCCTCCGCTCTTACGGCCCAAGCCTCCTCTGCAAGCCCACGGCAGGGACGACCTTCTCCGACTCTGGGCCCCAACGTGGGGGCTGTGGGGTGCGGTGGTGGTGGACTCGCGAGCTCGCGCAGTGGTCTGGACAGATCCGCACTGGACCTCAAATTGCCCTCCCGGGTCCTTAATTCACACCCCTCCCCCACGAAGATAAGAGGCAATCACAGGGGCGCGGCGGAGCGGGGCAGGGCGTGGGCCAGGCCGAGGTCCGCCGGGCGCTGCACAAGGCGGGGGAAGGGCTTCCCTGCCCAGTCGTCGCATCCCTGCGAGCTGGGTTTGGGGCCGGCACCCCGCGAGCGGAGGCCGCTCACCTCCGGGCCGCCGCCTCCTCCCGGGTGCCCGCCGGGCGCAGCCCCGGAGAGCTCCCGACGTGGCGCCCCCCGAGCCGGGCGCCTGGGCTCGGTGCCAGTTCACCCCCTGCCCCCGGCGCCCCCCGCCCGGCGGCCCCGCTCACCTCGTTCCCGCTCGCCGCTGGGGCGCACCGAGGACGCGCGCCGCACTCAGCGCGCAGGGTCGGCCGCGCCGCCCATGGGTCCGGCGGGGGCCCGCGCAGCCGGGGCCGGGGATGGGGGAGCGTGCGGGCCGCGTCGCCGTCGCCGCCGCCGCCGCCGCGGCCGCCGTGGGGTGCGCTCGCTCGGACCGGGGCGCGCGCACTGCGGGCGGGCACGCGCACTCGCGGCGCGCATCCCACCCGCGGCTCGGCGGGCGCGGCCGGTGCTGCTCAGCCTCGGGCTAGGCTCGGGTTCCGGCGTCCGGGCGGGGGGCGCGGAGCCGGCTCGGCCGCGAGTGACAGGCCCGGGGCGGAGGGCGGGGCCGCCGGTGGGGATGAGGTCATGCCGAGCGAAAAAAGCCCCTGACGTCACCTGCAGCCAATCAGCGTGCGCGGCTCGGGGGCAGGTGACGTCAGCCGGAGCTCAGCTTTGGGTGCAGATGAGAGGCGGAGGCCGCAGGGGGCGGGGGGCTGGGCTCGCTGCTGCCGCCCTCCGCCCTCTGCCCTCAACCCGCACCCCGGCACCGGCTCTTAAAGGGGCCGCGCGGCGTCCCGGTGCGTGCCTGGGACCCCCCTCCCGGAAGCCTTCGCAGCCCCAGCGCTCTGCTTCTCCCGGGGTCCCCGGTCCCACCGCACACGGACCCGCGGAGGGTGCGGCTGACCAGGTGCCGCGCGAGGGTCCTCTCCCCGCCAGACGGGCCTGAGCTGGCGCCGGCCCCCCGCCCCCGCTCCCCGCCGCCTTTGTTCGCGCCGGGCCTGCGGCCGGGAGAGCCTTCGCCGGCGGGGCCTGGCCCGGAGGGCGCACCCTGCAGCGTCTGCGCTCACCCCTCTCCACGACTCCCGGAGGTGGGGACCCGGGTCTCCACTTCGCCTGGGAGGAGGCAGGCTCGGAGGCGAGATGGTTCGCCTCGGTCACACATCCCCGAACTCGGGTGCAAGGGGGGCGGTGCGGCGCGTCCCCCCAGCCCCACCGATGACCTCCAGCCCTTGACGCTTCCAGTGAAAAGCTCCCCTCAACGGCGCTCAACCGGACCCACCCCGACCGTGGCCCCCCACCCCGTCCCCCATAAACACTGTGAGGGTCCGCCCCCAGCCGGTCACTGTGGGAACACAATCAGCCGGCGGCTTGGACGCTGGGAGCCCAGGGCGGGAACAACACAGGTCATTACACCTTGGGCAAGTGTTGGGCCGGAAACAAACAGGGGCCAGCCACGCGCTGGAGCAGGTGGGTGTCCCCAGAGGCCACCCAGGAGGTGACACGCAAGCAGTGACGGGCTGAGGAGGTCTGTGATGCAGCAGGGACCACCCTGGGCTGGAGAGGACCTGTCCAGCCACCAGGAGGCCAGGGTGCCGGAGCCCCTGAGGCAGAGGACGAGCAGCTATGCATCTACTGATTCGTCAAATATTTACTGAGTGCCTTCTGGAGGCCAGGCCCTGGGCCAGTGCTAGGACTTATTTCTGAAAAAGGGGATAAATTGCCCTTCCGGGGAACTAACAAGGCCTAGGAGCCTGGAAGGGAATTTGGGGCAGGGATGTGACTAGATGTAGTCCAGACATTTCTAAGCCTCACCCTCCGGAGCTGCCCAATGGAGAGTGAAGGGGGTCCCTCCTCCAGCCTGGAGCCCTGGCCAGCAGGTCTCCCGGGTCACCAGGGCAGCCCCAGGTCCCCAGAAAGCACAGCCCCTTTCCATGGAGGGAGGGAGCTGGGGGCAGCCTTCAGCCATCACTGGGTGAAGAAAGGTTCACAAAAGCAAAGCAGGCAAGGCTGGCCTGTCCCCTCAGGGCCAGAGTGGGCACTCAGGACCCCAAAGCTGTGTGGGAATGGGGTCAGGAGACACCTGCTGGCCAGGGACCAGGAGGGGCCCTCCCTTGTCCCATCCTCAGTTCTCCTGACCAGACAGTGTGCTGCCTCAGAGCTCAGCACACAGCAGGAGTGTAATAAGTGCTTGGGGTCTCCTCCCTTGCTGGCCCAGGGAGCATCCAGGCAGTTGTGGGGTGTGTGTGTTTGTGGGGTGGTGCCTGGCTCAGAGCCAGCACTTAGGAAAAACAAACAACTGGGGGGTGGGGTGGGAGGATGAAGCACGGGAACCAGGGGCTATTTAGGGCTGAGGCTGGGTTCAGGGCCTTCCTCCTTCCTCCAGCCAGGCTGGGCCCCAGAAGGGAGAGGGTGCTGCTCAGAAGAGAGGTTCTGGCCAGAGGAGGACCCTGAGCTCAGACAGGAGATGCCAGCCTGGATGCTCGACCAGGTCAGTGATGGGGCGGGGTGCAGTGGGGCCTGGATGCACTGGGCTCATCCAGTGTCTGACAAGTGGGGGAAGCTGGGCCTTGGGAGGGGGCAGGGAGGACCTTGAGAAGCACTGACAGACCCAGGAGGGCCTGGGTGAGGCCGAGAGGACATGCAGAGGCTGTCCATGTCTCTAGAACAGTCACCTGGGGTGGGGTGTGCCTAACTCAGTTTGCTCCCCTTGCCAGACCCAGGGTGAGCCCAGTGGGTGGGAGGAAGGCTGGGGGAGGGGGACTGGGGAATGGGGCGAGGGGGAGTAGGGATGGGGGTGGGGTGGAACAAGGGGTGTCTAAGTGGGCTCCTGCAGGAGGGGTGGGGCCAGCTCCTCTTCACCAAGCCCAGATGTGGTCAGCGCTGGCCTGTGGTCTGGGGGTGCCCTTGGTCCCTGAGAAGTCTGGCTGTGCTCTGGGCAGCTCCTAGCTAGGCACGAGCAGATGGAAGTAAATCGAGGGGCTGTCCTCGTGCCCCCTCTGAAGTTGCCAGTGTGTATGGGTGGCACCGTTTCCCGGGCTGTGCCTGGCGTGGGGACTATGTTTAGGCCACGAGTATTTTATAACCCTAATGGTTGTCTTTCCTGCAAATGAGCCCTTAAAGCCTGGCATTCTGCAACAACAGGGCAGCAGGGTAGGGAGGTACCCACTCTGGAGAAGATGGTGACTTTCCAAGGCCGACAGCTCTGGCCCTGGGTCCTTTCCAGCCCAGGAGTTAGATTTTATCCCTTCCCGGCTTTTGGCTGCTCCCTGACCTCCAGCAGAGGGTTGGCACCCGACCAGGTGGGCCCTGAGCCTCAGACTCCCCCCAGTTCAGCTCAGCTCTCTGGGGCAGCCAGCATCTCCTCTGGGCACAGGTGTGGAGGGGCGGGGGCAGCCTGGAGGGCAGCTGCGGTGCGTCAGAGAGGTGAGCTGCTAAGCTCGTGCAAGGGAACATCTCGCGAGGGGGTCTGGCCTCCCGCAGTGACCACCGGTCCAGGCGGGGCAAAGTCCAAGCCTAGCTGTCCCTGCACCCTGGTTCCCCGCAGGTGATTGCCGCCACGCTGGCCTGGGCGTGAGGACCCTGCACAGGATCCCCCGGGGTGGATCAGGACCCCGCGCAGGGCACGGAGGCGGCGAGGCCGCGTCCGGTGTCAGCTCGGCCCGGTCCAGCCGGATCTTTCTGCTCCAGGGGCGCGCAGCCTCGGGCGGGACCCGCGCTCCCCGTCGGGCCCGTGGGATCACGGCGGTCCTGGCAGCCCGTGCGCGCCCTCTGCCGCCCGCCTGCGGGGAGGACGCCCGGGGCGGGTGTTCCCCGAGGCCCCCTTTCTGTGCAGAAGAAAATCGGGTTCGCCCTTTCTTGCTGATTTGCAACTCAGTGGACGCATAGTAACCATTTCCCCAAGGTATCCAGGTCCCACGACCTGACTTAAAGAAAAAAAAAAGTCAGGGCCTACTTCATAAAACACACATCTGGGGTGAACAAGTAGGTGGGTGGGTTTGACAACGCTCCGCACCCATGTTATGGGGCATTTCCCTCACCCAAGAAAGTTCCCTCGGGTCCTTTCCAGGCAGTTGTCCGCTCACCTGACTGATCGCCGCCGGCCCAGAACTCTGAACTCCACAGAAATGGCCACGTGCACTCAGTTCTTGTGTGTCTGGCTTTCCCAGGAAGGAAATGCTTCCGAGATCCCCACCATGGAGGATCAGTCTCTGTGGAAGTTGTGTTTTATGGATGTGCGGTGATATTCAAACCAGCTCTCTCTCTGTTCAATTATTCCCACATTTCAGCTGCTAAGAACCGTCCAACGAGCAGCTTCGATATGCTTTTAATAACACATTGCAGGTGGTTTTATTCCCCTTTTAAAAATTATATTAAAAAACTTTCAAACAAGCACACTGAGCACTCTGTAACAGCACCCAGCTCCCAGACCCCACCATGTCAGTATTTGTCCCTTTTTGCCTCACGTTGGAAGCACACAGTGGGGGGCCCAGGTGCAACCCATCCCCTCCGTCCAGAGGCAGTGCATGGAGGGTGCTGGGTGCCTTCCCGGTTCTGCCCCTATCCACTTGCTGCATGTGTAAGTCCCATGTACAGGAGCGAGTATTCCCGTGTGCGTGTGCGTGTTTTAAATATGTATTTATTGATTTGAGAGAGAGAGAGGAAGGGAGAGGGAGAGAGAAATGGAAACACTGATGCATACCTCCTCTGGGGATGGAGCCTGAAACCCAGCCATGTGCCTTGATCAGTGACCTCTCGGTGCACGGGACCACACTGGACCAACGGAGCCCCAGCTGCTGGACCCCTTGTGTGTTTTCAAGTATTGACACATAAGCATTTGACTCTCAGTGAAGTGTTTGGATTACTTGCAGTCACTGTAATTACTAACGTAGGTTCCGTATGCCACTGGGCTTGTCTGCGTCTTCCTGCTTTTTTGTTTTTATTATAGAATTGTACACCTGAAACATATACAGTTTTATTAAGCAATGTCACCCCAATGAATTAAAAAAATGTTTTTTCTTAAATATTGATGCAAAATAAAGAGGATCATAAAATTTTTGCTTTGTCCTTTTAAGGTCTAACTTTGACTATTTCTTAGTTTAGCACTTTATTTTCTTTATTACTTTATTTTAATTAATTAATTTTTGTTAAAGATGTCCCCCCCACTGATTCCCCCCTCCCCCTCCTCCTCCCTCCCCACCCTGTCCCCAGCTTTGTTGTCCATGTCCATT